CCCAGTTTTCTAGCAACCAAATTTCTCATTTAAAATTTTTTTGAAACATTTTTGAAAACGTCCTAGCAACGTCATATCTGAAAAACTAAAAGCACTTGAGCATTTATAAATGGAGACAAAATTTTGAAACCGTGGGAGTACCCCGACAGAGCCTCACTATAGAGATGAAAAATTAAAACTTTGTGAAATTTTTATATCTAAATTCTGTGAACAAGTTTCTATAAAAAACATAACAAACTTAATATCTCGGAAACTAAGAGCATTTGAGCAGTCTAGTTTGGACGCAAGATTTGCAACTTGAAACAAGGTTGGGATTTTCAAACTTTCTGAATAATTTTAAATTCAAATTACATTTCTGAAAAAATATTTTAAAAACGCCATATCTCGAAAACTAAAAGAAATTGAGCAGTTCTATTTTTGAAACGTCTGTGAGTACCCTGCCAGCGCCCAACTACAGGGTTGAGAATTTCAAATTTTTTGAATTGTTTCAAATATAAGTTTTCTGAAAATTAAAAAAATCATAAAAAACGTCATATCTCAAAAACTAAGAGGATTGGAGCAGTCATAATTGAAGGCCTGTTTCGCGAACCCAGCAGGAACCCTCTTCATTGAACCCACAATCTCATGCGTGGAAGGTTATCTTTTGAGAAAAGTTCAAAAAAAATTAAAAAAACGGTAACAAAAATCAAAAATTTGACTTTTCTGAGGGCCATAATTTTATGAGTACAAAAGTTTAGGCTTAGCTGCTTATGGAGGTGAGCTTTTCACATCCGTTCTATTCATTGAAACCAAAATCTCAGATCTGGTAGGCTAGTTTTTGAAAAACGGAAAAAAAAATCAAAAACATCGGTCAATTATTCCACCCACAGACTTATTCGAAGGCTGTAGACAAAGGGGTGAAGAAAAAAGAGAAGGGACAGTATGCAGGCACACACAAATCTAAGCGGTCTTTTATGGATAGCCCTTTATTGAAAGTCGGTTAAGGGTTTTTGATTTAAAAAAAACTATTCTTTTTGCTAAAAGTGAGTAAACTTTCCAAAGCGTGCCAGAAAATACCAATCCCACACACTTTCATTATACTTGTTTTCATCAAACAGGAATTCTAGGTAAACCTGCCACGCAAGACATTTTAAATTCAAATTACTAACTGAACAAAACTTACGAAAGCGGAAATAAGGCCGACAATCTTTGAGAAGACACCAGTTGAGCCGAAAAAAAAACTGATTTTGTAAAAGTAAAACTTTATCAAGTTCCCCTAAATCACAGTTTTTTTAGTAGCAGTATTTAGACAACCGCGTATTCAGACACTGTAGTAACCAATCAGAATCGAGACGAGGAAGATATGAAATTCATTTCTTTCCTTGTCTCGATTCTGATTGGTTAATACAGTGTCTAAATACGCGGTTGCCTAAATACAGAACGCACTCCAGTTTTTGTTGCGAAATTAAATTTTGCGTGTAAAACCAGAAATTCTCTGCATGAATATATGGGCGCAAAAAGCAACAGCCAAAATTATTCTATACTAAGCTGCAATCAGTATAAGTAATAAATGCGCAATTAGGAGCTCTGGAAAACCCAAAATAATGCATGCAAATATAAATGAAAAAAAAAGGAATACCACGGGTTTCGAACTCGGATTTCCAGAAAAATGTCGCTTGTATTACCCATTCAGCCATGGAGCCTTGCCTAAACCTAGTTCCACGCATGCTTAACTCTTAGCTAACATGCAGTTTCGATATTGCTCGATCATATGCTGTTTAATTAACGCAGATACTCCGCAGAAAACTTAGCATTTAAATAGCGACTTAGGTTGGAAAAAGTGTAGACCGTTTAACACTACTGTAGAATTGGTGATTCTACTGTATTACTGGCTATAGTAACCTGAGCGTAAGATTGAATTGTCATAAAGTCAAGTAGTACAGCAAACAAAGGTTTGAGCTCTAAATAGTTAAATCTTCGAAGATATAGTCCCTCATATGGCTGAAAATGCAGGTGAAGAAAGATCGGCCGCCCCCCTTCAAAAGGAACTACAGTGGTTGACTTTATGAAACTCATAGGACGGATACTAGGGATGATTTGACCAGGGCATGCAAAAATCCAGACCCCTCTGACCTCCCGGCCCCAAGTGATAACGGTTCCCGGAAGTGCAAATAGCCCTATAAGAACTCTTTAACTAGCGGTTGGAATGGAACAAAAATATAGTATGTTCTAGACCTAGTTGAGGGAAGCTTAAGTTTAGAACCCCAGACCCCTAAGACCTCCACTTCCTGTTTTATGCCCAAAGTAAACAAACCCCACCCCGACTTCCGGGAGTCGTTTCTCGGACCCCACGGAACGCGGGGAGCTGAAACTTAGGGATGATAGGTAGTGGCAAAATACATCTTGTGTTATGACTTGAGCCAAATCCAGCGGCGGCTGAAGTTATTAGCACTTTGGAAAACCACCCCTTAAACCGGAAATAGGCAATTTACGCAAAATATTGAGCGAGGGCATACCGATTTTGTGGCGGCATCAGATACTACAACTCATTCCCGAAAAAAGACCCCTGGTGATTGAAACCCCTCCGGCGACTCCTTCCGGTGTTAATAGCCTTTTCCCGGGAAAAGTGATAAAGGACCCTTGAAATGGGATAACTTTGGAAGTATTAACGGGATATGGATGAAACTTGGTAGGTAGGACCCCTATGGGATTCTAAACTTGAATGTGGAAGATGTGTATAGAAAACCTCGGGATTAACACCGGAAAGTGGCGTATTCATTCGACCCCAACCCTTGGGAATGAGAATTGGTCACCTTACTAATATTTGGGAGGGAACTTACCTATTGGGAAATAAATGAGAAGCTGAATGAGATATAACTTATACATTGTATCATTGAAGTAGTGGAACTAATTAAAGTGGACATGGTAAACATTGGGTTCAGTTTAGCTTGGCGAATGATCTATTAATAGCCTTTCAACTAGACTAAAGAAAAGTAGTCCCAGAAGAAATTGATAGTAATAGGACCGCGGCATGAGAGTTAAGTTTCCTAAATAGTATGAATGGACGGTGATTTTACTTGTCTTCCCGGAGGTGACTTTTAGGTTTAATTTGACCCCTAATAGACGAACAACCTTACCCTGATAGCTAGAAGGTCGGGATTGGAATAGAGTACAGATCGAAATTTTAGATGCTTGGAATGAATTAGCTACCCATGAAAGGGTCTCCCCTACCCTTAGGAGGTCGGAACGCTAACGGGATAACTAAACTAAAGACCTTGGGAGGGTCACTGAGTAAATATAGCATGGTTTAGAGGTTAGTTGAACTCGAGGGCTGAAGTCACTGAGGGCAGGAATTAGTTGATTAGAATCGTATGACATTTGTTTGCTTGGTCAAATTGTGACAGCTACCGCATAGCGGGTATCTAATAAGCGTGAAAAGATTGATAAAAGAAACCGAAGTTGGCACGTGGCAGAATTGACAGGGGGAGGGATATAGTCTAAAACATGTGCGGACGGGTGATTTAAAGGGATGTCAGGACTGATAGGGAATGGCGTGACTTAACTTAAACTAAGTGTAAAGAAAGATAAGGAATTGGAGGGTACCGGAGAGCCATTAAGAGTCAGAACAGTGGTTAGCTACTATTAAGAGTAGTTTGTTCTCAGTCAGAGAAGAGAGCAGTTGATACTGAGAGCGAGTATAGTTGGTTCTCAGTTAGACAGAGAGAAGAATTATTGCTAGCGAATCGAGTAGTTGGTTCACGAAGTTGGAGAACAACTGTATCACAAATAGTAGATAGTTGCTTCTCGTCAGAGATTCTCTAGAGAGAGAATAGTTCAGTATTAGTGGAGTTAGCTGAAAGATGTTAGCTTTCCTTTTGTGGAGTTAGCTTTCCTTTTGATTTGATTATTAGATTATAACCTGGCCACTCAGAGCCCTCTGTAATCAGACGTATAATCATCTGAATTAAATTACAATTAGAAACTCTTGCGATTGTATCGAGTAGACAAGACAGCCGGAAGAGCAATACACAGAGGGGGAAAGCAACATAATACAATACAGAATAGTTGCCACCAAAATAACCCTTTCGGGATTGTTAGATAGTAGTGAATCTCGGTCGCCCCGCTGATTTCACTGCCCAAGGGACGACTTTGCGGTGTCGTTAGGAAAGAGGGAACGAACCTAGAGAATAAATCCTCTAATTCTACAACTACGCTCCCCCCTTTCTTGAAAGCACCTCACCTTTTGAGACAGTTTGAAGCAGGAGTCTATGGGGTCAGGAGAGATTGTTAAGTAGATCCGGAATGAAGAGTATATAATTGCTTCTGATTTATTGGAATGTTTCAACGATTGAATAATTCTGTCATAACAAACTCCTTGTCTGTGATTCACGCCGCGTTTCATCATCAGACCAAGTGAATATGTTAAAATCAAATGATTATAATAGTGTTTTGAGCCTTTCAAAGATTAATATGAAAAAAGTTTGCATGGCTTTCGTTTTTTTAATTTCGTAACAACAAACAGGTGGTCGGATGTTTATGTGCTACTTGCAACTCAACTGGCGGATCTACTTAACAATCTTCCCCCCCCCCCTTTCAAGAATGGGGGGAGATTCTTTAGTAGATACAATAGGGGAGATTAGGGGGGGGAGAGATAGGGGGAGATTAGGGGGGGGGGGAATTGTTAAGTAGATCCTTCATTCCTATCACAACTACTGCAAACTATCTATCTTGGGGATTGGCACAGATTTCGTCCCATATCCAACATCCTATCACGGTATGTCCAAATTAGTGGAAATAAATCTGTGTACGCTTTGAAATGGGACGAAATCTGTTGAAATTAAAATAGGACGAGATCTGTCATGGGACGAAATCTGTCACAACCATCTTTGGTGTATCAACCTTTGTTTTGTTTGCCATTAACATTTCGGAGACGTTCGTTTGTTAGATACACTGCAATGGCGACAGCCAAGAGCAAGAGCATCACTCAACTCCTTTGATTGCTTTATCACAATTTGGTACAAAAATAAATTAAAACAATGCCCGCACGTATTTTAAATAACAAAGATAAATATTAGAAAAATGAAAATAATGATAAAAAAAGCAGCTTCGAGCATCATAAATGCATCATTGATATCCTATTGCTATATAAAGAGTTTTTGACAGAAAACAAGAAAGGTTGAAAGTTTATAAGAGAAATTGAATCATGATTTAGTTTTTGGTAACTTTTAGAAGAAATGCAGCCGAGGTTCTCTTGGTACAGGAAAACTCAAATCTCCGTTTCAGATTATGTAAATAAACACCAATGCACTCAAAATCGCCAACCAATGCACACTGAGAAGCGGTTCTATCAATAGTTGTCGTGATTTGTGCATCGAAGCGACAGTGTTGAAGTAATCTTCATCTGATAGACACCACGAAACTGAGTTGAAACGGTAGGCGCTGTTTGCACAACTCGGTAATGATTTATGGTCTTTTCCATGTCTTATCATAACGAAAACTTCTTCGCTACATCTAACCGCGAATTTAACAGTAGTTATTGCACCCATGCTTTGATGCCAGAGGTGTTCGTGAATCACTTTAGATCGGTTCAAACTCCAGAACTCAATTTCAAGAACTCCGTTAAAAAAGATGTCGCTTCTAATGTTCGATGGGAAAACTTTTTCGACTTTTTGGCCCAGTGACGTCGGCAGGTCTCCGAAATACTCCGAGGGCGGAATCACCAAGCCCTTTGACAGTTGCTGACACCTCGATAAATGCTTCGATTCTACAGCTTTTACCGATACCATATACGCACATCGTTTGTTCAATTGCATTTTGATTGCATTGACGTGATTGACTGGAAAGTAAAAAGATAACATCTGGTCCGGCTTATCAGTTAAACACGTACAGAAAAAAGATGTCACTGAAACATGTATCCAGTCATATGACATACTGTCCACTAGTTCTTGGAATTTTTCGACATTCACAGCGAACTGAACGCTTTTGATATCTCTGCCAACGACGGTCTGTGAAAGGTTTCCGATACTCAGAGAACTTATTTTTGGACCCTTGTGACAAAAGTGGGGATTATTCTGGAGTCGGTAGTCAAATGTTCTCGGTTCATCTTCCAAATTTTTCTCTGTTCCATTTGATGCAAATACAGTCGCTTTAGTGATAACTGTTGCATGCCAGAGTGAATCACAAACTTTCAACTCGAACGTCGCACTTAGGCCACCACTTTTCCCTGAAACTGTCTTAGTCTGTTCCGGATAGTCGGAACACGAAGAGACGTGAACTTGGAAATGGACTGGGTGGGATTTGCCAGTTTGATTAGTTTTCCAACTTAACGCCACTTTACATTGGTGCAGATTTTTTGAACGCATCTTGCAATCCATGAAATCAACTTGCATGTCTGTGACTACATTTAGATCTAGTTCTTCTTCCGCTGTATAAACTGCATTTTTCACACAGTCTGCTTTCGAGCCAATTAGTCCATTGGAGTCGTAAGCTCCGAGCTTAAACAAGTACTGCCATCCAGGGTCCAACTCCAAGGTGAAGTGCCCTTCTTGGTATGTGTCATAACCCATCAAACTGTAAGTCGCATTCTCCGTGAAGTTCAAATGACTTTTCCAAGCTAACAGAGCAATGGTCAATACATCTGCAGCTAAATTGTATTCTTTAGGGTCGTATTTGTAATGGATAACCAAGCTTCTTCCTCTCTGGGTAACATGGGTCTTGAAGTTGACAAAAAATGAGTCGGGCTCATAGAAATTATCAGGTTTTGTCTCTTCCACAGTTTCCGTCTCCGATGTTGCATTTTTAACAAACTCTCCCGTCGCAGCGTTGGCAGCAGCAGCTTCTTGACTGCGGAGTTCTAGAGCTTCCTCGGGCACGTTTACGCAGAATCTTGCTCCGGTTCTGGAAGGGCAGCATTTCTGAGTTCGTCTGCGACAGTGCGTGTCATAGTAGCACAGGCTGTTGTACCTGCATATGTCTCGGTGATAATAATCTAAACAAGCATACTATTTTTTCACTTAACGAAACAATAGTGTTTGTGACAAAAAATAATAATTTGAAAAAATCAAGTCACATTTTTTGTAGCTGTAAATTCCGTTTTTCATTTCGTTGTCTCTAATTCGGACAAACAAGAAAGAAAACATGCTCTATTAAACAAGGCTTTTACTCAAGTATATCCAGGGCACTAGAATGATAACTGGATCCCTAAAATTAAGATGGGTCCAATAAGAAAAAACTTGAGCCTTAATACTTTCGGAAATACGGCTAGAATTTGTTTACTTGTGTTTTCGAATTTTTCACGAAATTTGCGTGACCCATCTTTCATACATGCTTTTTCGTGAGACCGAAGTATCATACTTGTACCAATATCGAAGTTAGAGCTACACTTAACCGGAAAAATCAGGAACCTCATAAATTTGCGGCGAATTTTAGAAAACTTTAAAACACGCATAGATGCTCCGCATCTGTTGCCTATCACGCAAAATGAAAGAAAATCCGAGAAACTTCACGCAAAACGCTAGAAATAAAAGATTTCTGGATGGCAACATTTTGCCAAAACTCGAAGATTTGGCTCATATATGCGTTTAGTTGCTTCCTCAGCCCTCGTTGAACACAGTTTTATTCATTATGATAAAGTATTGACCCATGATAGGCAAAAACTTCGCTAAGGTAACTACCTAACGCATTTTCCAACAATTTCAGCGCATTTTTCGCATCTCGGGCTATTTTTCATCAAATTTTTTCTCTTTTTCATCAATTTTTCATCTGCGGCAATTTATCTCTTGCAAGTTTTCCGCATTTAATGGAGAAATTTAACGCTATTTCTTAGGGTCTCTGGGCACAATACGTGGCTTCAAGAAAAATTGGCATTCAGAAATTTTACTACGAGTTTGAGCCACGTATTCGATACAGCTCAATGATAACTTACCGAACATGCTGACATCGTATGGAGTGGGACATTCCACGTCGGATCTACTTTGGAATTTTTCGACAATGAAGTCGCAAGAGTTTTTGCAACTTTTCGAACCATACACGCCACAAAAATCATCACAGTTCCAGCTGATTTTTTGTATCTTTGAGTTTATGTTTGATTCAATAATTTGCTTAGCTGAGAGACAAGTCTGCATGCAATCTTTGCACTTATCGCTCATCCTTTCACACAATTCGAAAGATTTCATCAGCGGTTTGGAAGTTTCCAGGCACTTATGGAGACATCTAGGTTCCACCGCTGTTTCCAGGAGCGCTTCGGGATACAAGTGGTGCCTCTCTCGCTCGTCAAAAGCGTCCGGTGCTTCAGGAGTATTGCAGAAAGTGCGCAGCATATGTTCTATCATTTCGTTCGTTTTGGGAGGCATCTTGGAATCTTGAGCATTGTAATCATCGTAATTGTAATCATAATTGTAGTCATCAAAGTTTTCAATTTGATAGAACCCAGAGAAGCACATAAGCAGTATTACATTCAAATTTAACAATGAACTCATGGTCCAACTTTTTTTCTCGAAGTACGAAGACCGACACAGTAAATTCTAAGCAAATTTCACAATAAACAAATCAGCTGTACTTTATTGTATCAATAAAACCTGTCTGAGAAATTATTTAAAAAACGCTGTCAAGATAATTCGAAATTAGCATCAACTGTCGAAAATTGTTTATTTTTATTAAATTATTGGTGAATTTGCAAAGTAAGGTCATAAGGCAATAAACATTCTGCTGCTTCTCGTTGAGCTCACTCGTGACATGGTTTCTTATCTTCGACAATAAACAATTAATCAATATTGAATTCAGAAATCATGGTGTTTTAGTTCGTTAATTGATTTCCCATTAGGTAAAAAATAATTCCATACCTTTTTGGTAACTCTTCGATGCTAGTTAAATAGCTGATAAGTCGTCCGGCTAATTTGGCGAAAAATTCCAGTATCGCTGAACTCTATTGAGACAAATCCGTAAAATAGTCTTTTAAAAATAATTTGTCAAACTGTTGTGTAAATTGAAGCTGTTTAATTATGCGTTGCGTGGGCTTATGTTTCTGAACTTTTTGGTAAATTTACAGAAATAAGTCAATAATAAACCTGCTGCTGAGCGCTTTTGCTATCACAAAATATCAAAATATCATAAGTTGCCTTTTGTTTCTATTTCCTCATCTTGTGTGTGATATTTTGAATTTTGTCGATATTTTGAATTTTGTCGTACTGGTACGTACTATTAAGGGGTCTAGGACAACAAGCCGACGGGACTTCAAGCCGAAGGGACTTCAAGCCGAAATTAAAACTTTACAAGCACCCCAAAACGCTTTTTATCATCTGCAAAAGGTTGCTTTTCTAAAACTTTGGCAAGTTAAGTCCATAATAAGCGTTATTCATGACAATGCGCCGCTTGTGATTCGCATCCGTTAATAACATCAGCCGGTTTTTGAAATGCATAAATTATAAACATGAAAATGCCAATTATAAATTATAAATTACAAATTATAAATGCAAATGCCAATAACTAGTGAAGAAAAATCATGAAATTCAAAAATTCTTCAAAAAATTTTCAAATTGTTCATATTTCACGACTTTATAAGGAATTATTCAGCTTGAAGTCCCTAATTTTACAATTCGGCTTGAAGTCCCGTCGGCTTGATGTCCGGCACCCACTATTAAGAGCAACATTTTCAAGAGCAGCAAGATCAAATAAACATTTTGCGCTGCCCGCTTAGTTAATGATTGGAGTTCGGTGTCTCTTTCCTACGTTACCTTTTTGCTACTGATTATAGATTTAAAGTTTAAAGTTTTTGATAAGCTCTCCCGAATCACAATCAATGGCTAAAATGAAACAAAAAAATTTCTTTGGGAGTAATGTATCGACCAGTTCTATATTTCAGAAATTAATTCATGAAAAAGATTAACTAGGTGCTAAATTGCTTTCCCCGCCCGGTCATAAGCTAAATCAACAGAGGGACAAACTCGCCGACAATTTTGTAGACCAAAGATCAACTTTGTTCAGTCGACCATGAGGCCAAAGAGCGCGATCTTGGCCCTTTTTTTACGCAAGGTAGAATCAGGACCATGACTATGATCTGATAATTGCCAAAAAAACAATCAACCAAAACTATCATTATTGCATTGCTGTACAAACTAAAGCTCGGATCTACTCCCCCCCCCATCCGTTTAGGGGGGAGGATGTTAACTCGGTTCTGAGTTCGAGTTTTCAACCAACTTGGTCTATTTGGGGGGGATGTTAACTTGATCCTTCTTAACAATTGCCCTCCCTTTGGTACCTACTTAAGAATTGCCACCCCTATTAATAAAAGCAGTAAGCTAGCGCTGGAGCTATGTATTGAGACTTATAATTTTGCTGCACTCTGATTGGTCGAAAATGCGTTATATTAATCTAATTAGCAATTGCCCCCCTTTCTTAAAAGGGGTGATAATTGTTCAGTAGATCGCTAAGCTCAACTATGTTAGATGTTAACTTGATATAAATATGGAAATTGGATCAACCGATGGGTATTCACCAGCACCTAAATGAAAAATCAGTCCCATTTGTACCAAAATATAAAATCAATCGCGTCAAAAAAAATCAATCGCGTAAAACCTCACTCTAGGCAAACATGCCACACAATTGACAATTAAATTAGCGAAGGAATAAAACTCACGAGCTGGAAACAAAGCACACAACCTTTGAGCAGACAAAGTTGAGCCGCAAACATATGATTTAAAAAAAAATTAAACTCTAATTGAAGCTACAATTAACAACACTAGCACTTGCAACTACAATAGAAGTTGCTTACAGTGCAAGAAAAATCAGTGATGTGGCCACTAAGCCAACAATCTTTGAGCATACATCAGTTGAAGCGAAGAAAAATTATTTTATAATTTTTTAAATCTTTCAAGTCACTCCCTGAAAATAGAATGAACAACACTTGCACTTACAACTGCAATGAAATTTGCTTACAGCACAAGCAAAATCCGTGATGTGGCAACTTAGCCGACAAAACTTGAGTAGACAAACGAAAGTCTGGCAATTCAACTTTTACCGAAAAAAAATTCAATTGCATACAATTGCTAAAAAAACAAGGTCCGGCCGAGACTCGACCTCAGACCTTAGTAAAGGAATCTGGAAATGAGAAGGAGTGAATAAAACGGCCATACATGGAAGAAGTGAACAGATCGGCCATGCTAAGTGATTCAACTGAATTTGTTAAACTAGTTGTTAACCCGAAATAAGTCTATATTACGACTTGATAAAGCTTGATAATCGCAAGCATAATTACTAACTCTGGAAAAAATCAATGAACTAATTAACTCTCCTGTTCATTGACACTTTTAAACTCTCTTTCTAATTTAACTTCAAAAAGTGACTCAAACTTAAATACAGAGGCAAAGCGGAACCTCGCACCACTTGCAACACCACAAAAACATAGCATTGCAACTTAGCTAATAAAAAACGAAAGCTACTAAAGAACAAAAAAACTACGACTCCTAAAATTCCAAATACTTGTCCCAAATGATGTTCAATTTGAGGAAAACAAGTTCAGCAACACAATTGCTGGCGTTCTAAGATTATTAAAAACATTTGTCAAGCGGTAACTAAGACGAAAATAGGGGAAACTCCCGTTGAGCCGGAATCCATTTGGTTCCCATAAAAACTTCGAAGTCCTAATATTCTAAACATTTGCACTTTCACTTTAAAACACTGTCGAATGCAGCCAGCAGAAACTTGGGAAAAAAACGAACTTCAGACAAAATAGCAGGAATCAGACAAAACAACAGATTAAAAAATTTTAATTTTAGTTATCAGGCAAAAATTATATGAAAATAAAATAAAATTCTACACAGATGCGAAGCTGAGCTTTGCTTCACTTGCATTGCAATACTCAAAAAAATTGCCGAAAAAAAAGAAAAATTTAATCGAAAAAACTATGAAAAGTCAAAAGAACTAGATCTACTATAGAAATCAAAAAAATTACAATAAAATAGAATGTAAAAATTTACCATCAGACAACTTAACAGGCGGTAAAAAAATGTCTGAGCAGAATTCCTCAAAAACCGAAATTAGATTTTTATAAATGCGGAAAAAAATCAAAATTATAAAAAATTGTTAAAGCTCATTACCCTAAGAAAACACAAACCGCACACAAACAAAAAAAAAATTTTCTTTCATCAAATGATCTAAATGGGGCCACTGAGCCGATAAAAAATATGCCGAAACCTATCTAACCGAAAAAAAAGAAAAGAAAAAAAGCAAGTTGGTAACATTAAAACCACAAAAAAAATTGACTAGGCCGTACAATTGAAATGCGGTTATGCTCAAATATCTATGTTGCAACAGAAAGGCCTAGTGGATGAATGAGTCAAGGATATGAGTCCTGTGCTTCAAGTTATTAACGAGGAAACAGTCTAGTACCCGATTACAAAACCCTTGCTCATCGCGAGGGTAATGATATGAAATAATCTTTAACACGATGCAAATCGAAAATGTAAATGCCAAAAAAAATTCGTTGAAAAAAAGGGACACCGTTCAATATCAGGAACCTCATACATTTGCGGCGAATTTCAGAAAACTTTAAAACACGCATAGATGCTCCGCATCTGTTGCCTATCACGCAAAATGAAAGAAAATCCGAGAAACTTCACGCAAAACGCTAGAAATAAAAGATTTCTGGATGGCAACATTTTGCCAAAACTCGAAGATTTGGCTCATATATGCGTTTAGTTGCTTCCTCAGCCCTCATTGAACACAGTTTTATTCATTATGATAAAGTATTGACCCATGATAGGCAAAAACTTCGCTAAGCTAACTACCTAACGCATTTTCCAACAATTTCAGCGCATTTTTCGCATCTCGGGCTATTTTTCATCAAATTTTTTCTCTTTTTCATCAATTTTTTATCTGCGGCAATTTATCTCTTGCAAGTTTTCCGCATTTAATGTAGAAATTTAACGCTATTTCTTAGGGTCTCTGGGCACAAAACACGGCTTCAAGAAAAATTGGCATTCAGAAATTTTACTACGAGTTTGAGCCACGTATTCGATACAGCTCAATGATAACTTACCGAACATGCTGACATCGTATGGAGTGGGACATTCCACGTCGGATCTACTTTGGAAATTTTCGACAATGAAGTCGCAAGAGTTTTTGCAACTTTTCGAACCATCCACGCCACAAAAATCATCACAGTTCCAGCTGATTTTTTGTATCTTTGAGTTTATGTTTGATTCAATAATTTGCTTAGCTGAGAGACAAGTCTGCATGCAATCTTTGCACTTATCGCTCATCCTTTCACACAATTCGAAAGATTTCATCAGCGGTTTGGAAGTTTCCAGGCACTTATGGAGACATCTAGGTTCCACCGCTGTTTCCAGGAGCGCTTCGGGATACAAGTGGTGCCTCTCTCGCTCGTCAAAAGCGTCCGGTGCTTCAGGAGTATTGCAGAAAGTGCGCAGCATATGTTCTATCATTTCGTTCGTTTTGGGAGGCATCTTGGAATCTTGAGCATTGTAATCATCGTAATTGTAATCATAATTGTAGTCATCAAAGTTTTCAATTTGATAGAACCCAGAGAAGCACATAAGCAGTATTACATTCAAATTTAACAATGAACTCATGGTCCAACTTTTTTTCTCGAAGTACGAAGACCGACACAGTAAATTCTAAGCAAGTTTCACAATAAACAAATCAGCTGTACTTTATTGTATCAATAAAACCTGTCTGAGAAATTATTTAAAAAACGCTGTCAAGATAATTCGAAATTAGCATCAACTGTCGAAAATTGTTTATTTTTATTAAATTATTGGTGAATTTGCAAAGTAAGGTCATAAGGCAATAAAAATTCTGCTGCTTCTCGTTGAGCTCACTCGTGACATGGTTTCTTATCTTCGACAATAAACAATTAATCAATATTGAATTCAGAAATCATGGTGTTTTAGTTCGTTAATTGATTTCCCATTAGGTAAAAAATAATTCCATACCTTTTTGGTAACTCTTCGATGCTAGTTAAATAGCTGATAAGTCGTCCGGCTAATTTGGCGAAAAATTCCAGTATCGCTGAACTCTGAGACAAATCCGTAAAATAGTCTTTTAAAAATAATTTGTCAAACTGTTGTGTAAATTGAAGCTGTGTAAGTATGAGTTGCGTGGGCTTATGTTTCTGAACTTTTTTTGGTAAATTTACAGAAATAAGTCAATAATAAACCTGCTGCTGAGCGCTTTTGCTATCACAAAATATCAAAATATTATAAGTTGCCTTTTCTTTCTATTTCCTCATCTTGTGTGTGATATTTTGAATTTTGTCGTACTGGTACGTACTATTAAGGGGTCTAGGACAACAAGCCGACGGGACTTCAAGCCGAAGGGACTTCAAGCCGAAATTAAAACTTTACAAGCACCCCAAAACGCTTTTTATCATCTGCAAAAGGTTGCTTTTCTAAAACTTTGGCAAGTTAAGTCCATAATAAGCGTTATTCATGACAATGCGCCGCTTGTGATTCGCATCCGTTAATAACATCAGCCGGTTTTTGAAATGCATAAATTATAAACATGAAAAATGATTTCAACCATGTTTTACTTTTCAACTTTCCGGAACATCATTTGGAGGCTTAAATTATATGCAAACGCCAATAACTAGTGAAGAAAGATCATGAAATTCAAAAATTCTTCAAAAAAGTTTTCAAATTGTTCATATTTCACGACTTTATAAGGAGTTATTCGGCTTGAAGTCCCTAATTTTACAATTCGAACCCGTCGGCTTGATGTCCGGCACCCACTATTAAGAGCAACATTTTCAAGAGCAGCAAGATCAAATAAACATTTTGCGCTGCCCGGTTAGTTAATGATTGGAGTTCGGTGTCTCTTTCCTACGTTACCTTTTTGCTACTGATTATAGATTTAAAGTTTAAAATTTTTGATAAGCTCTCCCGAATCACAATCAATGGCTAAAATGAAACAAAAAAATTTCTTTGGGAGTAATGTATCGACCAGTTCTATATTTCAGAAATTAATTCATGAAAAAGATTAACTAGGTGCTAAATTGCTTTCCCCGCCCGGTCATAAGCTAAATCAACAGAGGGACAAACTCGCCGACAATTTTGTAGACCAAAGATCAACTTTGCTCAGTCGACCATGAGGCCAAAGAGCGCGATCTTGGCCCTTTTTTTAACGCAAGGTAGAATCAGGACCATGACTATGATCTGATATTTGCCAAAAACAATCAACCAAAACTATCATTATTGCATTACTGTACAAACTAAAGCTCGGATCTACTTAACGGACCAAGTTAACATCCTCCCCGTCCCCCCCCCCCCCCCAAATCCGTTTAGGTGGGAGGATGTTAACTTGGTTCTGAGTTCGAGTTTTCGACCAACTTGGTCTATTTGGGGGGGGGGGGGGGGGTTGGGGAGGAGGAGGAGGAGGAGGAAGAGGAGGAGTAGGAGGAGGAGGAGGAGGATGTTAACTTGATCCTTCTCAACAATTACCCTCCCTTTAGTACCTACTTAAGAATTGCCACCCCTATTAATTCAAGCAGTAAACTAGCGCTAGAGCTATGTATTGAGACTTATAATTTTGCTGCACTCTGATTGGTCGAAAATGCGTTATATTAATCTAATTAGCAATTGCCCCCCTTTCTTAATAGGGGTGATAATTGTTCAGTAGATCACTAAAGCTCAACTATGTTGGATGTTAACTTGATATAAAAATGGAAATTGGATCAACCGATGGGTATTCACCAGCACCTAAATGAAAAATCAGTCCCATTGGTACCAAAATATAAAATCAATCTCGTCAAAAAAAATCAATCGCGTAAAACCTCACTCTAGGCAAACATGCCACACAATTGACTATTAAATTAGCGAAGGAATAAAACTCACGAGCTGGAAACAAAGCACACAACCTTTGAGCAGACAAAGTTGAGCCGCAAACATATGATTTAAAAAAAAATAAAGCTCTAATTGAAGCTACAATTAACAACACTAGCACTTGCAACTACAATAGAAGTTGCTTACAGTACAAGAAAAATCAGTGATGTGGCCACTAAGCCAACAATCTTTGAGCATACATCAGTTGAAGCGAAGAAAAATTATTTTATAATTTTTTAAATCTTTCAAGTCACTCCCTGAAAATAGAATGAACAACACTTGCACTTACAACTGCAATGAAATTTGCTTACAGCACAAGCAAAATCCGTGATGTGGCAACTTAGCCGACAAAACTTGAGTAGACAAACGAAAGTCTGGCAATTCAACTTTTACCGAAAAAAAATTCAATTGCATACAATTGCTAAAAAAACAAGGTCCGGCCGAGACTCGACCTCAGACCTTAGTAAAGGAATCTGGAAATGAGAAGGAGTGAATAGAACGGCCATACATGGAAGAAGTGAACAGATCGGCCATGCTAAGTGATTCAACTGAATTTGTTAAACTAGTTGTTAACCCGAAATAAGTCTATATTACGACTTGATAAAGCTTGATAATCGCAAGCATAATTACTAACTCTAGAAAAAATCAATGAACTAATTAACTCTCCTGTTCATTGACACTTTTAAACTCTCTTTCTAATTTAACTTCAAAAAGTGACTCAAACTTAAATACAGAGGCAAAACGGAACCTCGCACCACCACAAAAACATAGCATTGCAACTTAGCTAATAAAAAACGAAAGCTACTAAAGAACAAAAAAACTACGACTCCCAAAATTCCAAATACTTGTCCCAAATGATGTTCAATTTGAGGAAAACAAGTTCAGCAACACAATTGCTGGCGTTCTAAGATTATATAAAACATTTGTCAAGCGGTAACTAAGACGAAAATAGGGGAAACTCCCGTTGAGCCGGAATCCATTTGGTTCCCATAAAAACTTCGAAGTCCTAATATTCTAAACATTTGCACTTTCACTTTAAAACACTGTCGAATGCAGCCAGCAGAAACTTGGGAAAAAAACGAACTTCAGACAAAATAGCAGGAATCAGACAAAACAACAGATTAAAAAATTTTAATTTTAGTTATCAGGCAAAATTTATATGAAAATAAAATAAAATTCTACACAGATGCGAAGCTGAGCTTTGCTTCACTTGCATTGCAATACTCAAAAAAATTGCCGAAAAAAAAGAAAAATTTAATCGAAAAAACTATGAAAAGTCAAAAGAACTAGATCTACTATAGAAATCAAAAAAATTACAATAAAATAGAATGTAAAAATTTACCATCAGACAACTTAACAGGCGATAAAAAAATGTCTGAGCAGAATTCCTCAAAAACCGAAATTAGATTTTTATAAATGCGGAAAAAAATCAAAATTATAAAAAATTGTTAAAGCTCATTACCCTAAGAAAACACAAACCGCACACAAACAAAAAAAAATTCTTTCATCAAATGATCTAAATGGGGCCACTGAGCCGATACAAAATATGCCGAAACCTATCTAACCGAAAAAAAAAGAAAAGAAAAAAAGCAAGTTGGTAACATTAAAACCACAAAAAAAATTGACTAGGCCGTACAATTGAAATGCGGTTATGCTCAAATATCTATGTTGCAACAGAAAGGCCTAGTGGATGAATGAGTCAAGGATATGAGTCCTGTGCTTCAAGTTATTAACGAGAAAAAAGTCTAGTACCCGATTACAAAACCCTTGCTCATCGCGAGGGTAATGATATGAAATAATCTTTAACACGATGCAAATCGAAAATGTAAATGCCAAAAAAATTCGTTGAAAAAAAGGGACACCGTTCAATACAGAGGCGAAGCAGAGCTTCGCATCACTTGCGATAGCATATAAGCTAGCATACAGGAAAAGAGAACCACGTACAAAAAATATGTTATATTTGCGGAAAATACGTCCAGTAACTTCATCAACGGCATTTATTGAAAACTCAAAAACAAGTATCGAGCGGCAACTATATTGTTGCCATGAGAAACCTTGCACTATAAATTCTTCTCTAAGATTTTCAGCATTTTGTTCGCTCCTGAGAGAAGCATAAGAATTATTTTTCCTTAAAAAGACCCGAAATTAGGTCACTTAGTCGATAGAATATAAGCCGCAATCAAGTGACCGAATAAGATTTTTAAGCGTAAAAAACTATAACGAAATAGCCAACAGGCACAATTGGAAAAGAGTCAATGAACGCATAAAAACAGGAAAAAAATACTGACATGTTTTTTAAAACACCTCAACTTTCGAATTTCAAAAAAATGGTTTGAAAGTTTTTCGAATTTAAAGAACAATTCTGACACTTCTGATAAAACATAAGCAAAATTAGAGCGACAACTTTTTTTGTAACAAAATACTTCGTTAAAAAACAGGTCCTGGCAAGATTCGAACCCAAGACCTTTGCCGTCCCAAGCGTATTCGTTACTTCCAGGCTAAGCGTGCCTGGCACGCTAAAAAATTCGAACTCATTATGAACAAAGTAATTCTCTTAAACAATTTGAAAATCCGAAAAAAAAATCATATTCCGATATGATAACTCTTGCTCTTCAAATTCAGTTCAGAACTTCATGTTATCAGTTAAAAACTAGCCCGATTGGAATAACACTTACCAATCGCGAAACTGAAAAAAAAGCCATTTTCATCTTGCATGCAAACATACATCTTTCAACGACGGAAAAACTCCAATTGTGAACAGCTACCGTCAATGTAAAAAAAAACGGTTATGTAAACTTAATCTGGCAAATACGTAATGCTTCAGTCAGAAGTGGATTTGAGGGGGGGGGGGGGGGGGGGATTCGACCAACTACTCACTGCCGACCCAAAGGGTCCCACTCTTTGCACTATGTTGAGACATCCATTTTGGCAGACAGGCCCTACAATTTTCTCAAGGCGCCAATATATTCTAACTTTGAGGGGTATCGACAGCGACATTGTCGACAGCGACTTAGAGGGGTATCGACAGCGACTTATTTTCACCATCTTGACTCCATTATCTCCAGGTTAACAGAGCCACCAGCCTTAATATATAGACTAAGAGATCTTTACTGAGCTATTCTCACGGCCGAAAACGTTTAACTGACCAACACCATTCAAACTGTTCATCATTTAAAACTGACTGATTTTCTAGCTTTATCTATCGAATTTCTTTAAAAATGAATTTTCGGTCATTCATTATTTTGGCCTTGACTGATTGCCCTGGCCTCAGGATTCGTACATTAAATTTAATCTTATTACGACAAATCCTCGAACCCTCAGAATTTTTCGAAATATGTACACCCATCAAAGAGCCCGTAATTTTCAGCATCTAGACTCAAGCTCATTTTTTATTAAAAATTATCGAACGTTTTTCTGAGCACTCGAACATTTAGGCTTAATATACATCTATGGTAAAGTTAAGCTCACGTGAGTTCTGCGACTAAGCAATTTCAGACAAATTGCAAAACAAAACAAATGTTTATGTTTACGAATCATTTCGTCTTCTTTTTCGCCACCACATCAAGCAAAACAATCAACACGCCGAAAGAGCTTGGCGCGTAATAAAAAGGTCTTCTGGGTCACGCAATAAAATTTTTGTACGCTCAGTTTTGCTTTCTTATTGTCTCACTTTCGGCTCAACACATTTATTCTTCGTGAACTTAATTAGAAATAAAGAAAACTGTTCCTGAATTTTCTCTTTAACATGTATGGCATAGTTAAAGCAAAGTACCTGGAGCAACATTAAAAGCTTTGCATTAAAACTTTGCATGTTAACAACCCAAGTCCAGTCGACTAGGAAATCATGCTCAAATTATAAGATGGAACAGCCTGAGATCAATTGTCACTTTAAAAAAAAAATCGACGGATCTCTTTAACAGTACCCATTTTGCAACAGGTCGGGGGGGGGGGGATTCTACACCAGGTAAAAAATTCACATTTGCTTAATCATTAAAGTTCTTTGTGGTGGTGGCAAATCGTTACTAGATAACATGGGGAGGGAGCGTGAATAGTTAAAGAACCGGATCTTGTTAATTATATGCTCCCTTTGTGCAAATTGGAAAAATACAACGATACAAAATTCGTATATGCTTACCTGTTCAATTCTTCCTTTTTAGGGTGGAGTGGGGGGGGGGGGGCATTCGTTATAAAGTACTATCGGGGAGCATATAGTTAATAAGATCCAAAGAACCAAATTGACACTTCTGTCGGTGAGTTCAAATACTCAGCACAAACGAATGAGCTACTCTATCCCGGTTTTCCCTTTTTTCCATGCAACCATAGCCACAACAACTCTTAAGCAAACAGTGCAGCAATTGGGCTCTTCTAATATTCACCAACCTCAAAACATATATATTTAACTTAGGCTGACGTAGTCCACATAACCAAATTTTTTTGGTCCTCATATACAGTTTCGTTAAAATCAATGGTTGCATCGCAAAAATTTTACAAACATAGCCCTCCCTTAGATTTTGACCCCCTCATGATCCAAAAGGTCCCCTGTGAGAATATTACACGAAATCCCTTTTCCACCGACCCTCTCTAAAATTACAGAGACAGGAAGCGAATAAAAAGCACTTTTTCCGCTCTAATAAGTTTAAAGAAGGATTTTGTGACGAGAAGTCTTTCCAAATTCAAGCGCGGGTAACATCGCGTGAAGTGAATGAATTCCGAAGCAAAAACGTTCAAAGTTTTAGGCTTAGCGCACCAGAAAAAAATTTTCTCCCACTCCCTGCAGAAAAGTAATTGGAGTAAACTGAAACATGGTTATTAACATTACAAAACAATAGATGGATAGCTGATGGATGTTTTATATTTGCTCTAATTTCTGGGCACACTAGCTTCTCCTAACTTACCGTCTGACTCTTGTCTTGAGGTGTTGGTTTCAGCCTCGCCTTCTCCAGAGCCTTGTTGGCGTTCTCGTAGTCCACCAATGCCTTGGTGCGTCTGTACATCAACTCAGTGCCAGCTGCCGTCTCTGCACACGTATACTTCAGTAAATCTGCTAATTTCAGGTCTGAGTCACTGCTCACCCTAGCTTCCAGCTTCTAAAAACATTCAAGATAATTTCTGATATGAGTAATTTCAACTTTTGAATTAAATGTTCTTGATGAGGGGATGAGTTCTGCAGAAAATTTAGTCGATTTGTCAAGGCGAGCCAATTTTTTTTCTCAAAGCTTTCCTGAAACCCCAAAAGATCCATTCTTTAAAACACACGCGAAAAGCCGCTCAAAATTGTCAAAGAAATTCAAAAATAATACGGGAGCAAAATTACATCTGCTGTTTAATCGGAGAAAATCCATTTTAAAAATATTAGCGAGTGACAGAGTTGTCGATTTAACAAAGCAACTTGAATTAATTTTTTGAATTTTTCTTTCAATTATTTAAACACAGACGCGAAGCGGAGCTTCGCAACAGTTGCGATACATCACACACATAGAAAAGCAAGCTAGCTGCTAGAAATGAGACAGAACCAGCAAGACAAAAAATATTCAATCAAAATGTTGAAAAATTACATCTACAAATGTATGCCTGAAGTGATGTCAAATTTGAGGGAAACAAGTAGAGACACATAAAAACTAGCATCTAATTTATTGAATTTGTCTTTCAATCATTTCAACACAGACGCGAAGCGGAGCTTCACAACACTTGCGATACATTACACACAAAGAAATGCAAGCGAGCTGCTATAAATGAGACAGAACCACCAAGACAAAAAAATATTCAATCAAAATGTTGAAAAAACACATCTACAAATTTAAGTCTCAAGTGATGTCGAATGTGAGGGAAACAAGTAGAGACACATAAAAACAAGCATCTAATTTATTGAATTTGTCTTTCAATTATTTCAACACAGACGCGAAGCGGAGCTTCACAACACTTGCGATACATTACACACAAAGAAATGCAAGCGAGCTGCTAGAAATGAGACAGAACCACCAAGACAAAAAAATATTCAATCAAAATGTTGAAAAAACACATCTACAAATTTAAGTCTCAAGTGATGTCGAATGTGAGGGAAACAAGTAGAGACACATAAAAACAAGCATCTAATTTATTGAATTTGTCTTTCAATTATTTCAACACAGACGCGAAGCGGAGCTTCACAACCCTTGCGATACATCACACACATAGAAAAGCAAGCTAGCTGCTAGAAATGAGACAAAACCACCAAGACAAAAAAATATTCAATCAAAATGTTGAAAAAACACATCTCTAAATTTAAGTCTCAAGTGATGTCGAATGTGAGGGAAACAAGTAGAGACACATAAAAACAAGCATCTAATTTATTGAATTTGTCTTTCAATTATTTCAACACAGACGCGAAGCGGAGCTTCACAACACTAGCGGTACGTCACACACATAGAAATGCAAGCTAGCTGCTAGAAATGAGACAGAACCACCAAGACAAAAAATATTCAATCAAAATATTGAAAAATTACATCAACAAATGTAAGCCTCAAGTGATGTCGAATGTGAGGGAAACAAGAAGAGACACAAAAACAAGCATCTACTTTATTGAATTTGTCTTTCAATTATTTCAACACAGACGCGAAGCGGAGCTTCACAACATTTGCGATACATCACACACATAGAAAAGCAAGCTAGCTGCTAGAAATGAGACAGAACCACCAAGACAAAAAAATATTCAATCAAAATGTTGAAAAAACACATCTACAAATTAAAGTCTCAAGTGATGTCGAATGTGAGGGAAACAAGTGGAGACACATAAAAACAAGCATCTAACTTATTGAATTTGTCTTTCAATTATTTCAACACAGACGCGAAGCGGAGCTTCACAACACTTGCGATACATTACACACGAAGAAATGCAAGCGAGCTGCTAGAAATGAGACAGAACCACCAAGACAAAAAAATATTCAATCAAAATGTTGAAAAAACACATCTATAAATTTAAGTCTCAAGTGATGTCGAATGTGAGGGAAACAAGTAGAGACACATAAAAACAAGCATCTAATTTATTGAATTTGTCTTTCAATTATTTCAACACAGACGCGAAGCGGAGCTTCACAACACTTGCGATACGTCACACACATAGAAATACAAGCTAGCTGCTAGAAATGAGACAACCACCAAGACAAAAAATATTCAATCAAAATGTTGAAAAAACTCATCTACAAATTTAAGTCTCAAGTGATGTCAAGTTTGAGGGGAAACAAGTAGAGACACATGAAAACAAGCATCTTATTTATTGAATTTCTCTTTCAATTATTTCAACACAGACGCGAAGCGGAGCTTCACAACTTGCGATACATCACACACATAGAAAAGCAAGCTAGCTGCTAGAAATGAGACAAAACCACCAAGACAAAAAAATATTCAATCAAAATGTTGAAAAAACACATCTACAAATTTAAGTCTCAAGTGATGTCGAATGTGAGGGAAACAAGTAGAGACACATAAAAACAAGCATCTAATTTATTGAATTTGTCTTTCAATTATTTCAACACAGACGCGAAGCGGAGCTTCACAACACTTGCGATACGTCACACATAGAAATGCAAGCTAGCTGCTAGAAATGAGACAGAACCACCAAGAGAAAAAATATTCAATCAAAATGTTGAAAAATTACATCAACAAATGTAAGCCTCAAGTGATGTCGAATGTGAGGGAAACAAGAAGAGACACATAAAAACAAGCATCTACTTTATTGAATTTGTCTTTCAATTATTTCAACACAGACGCGAAGCGGAGCTTCACAACATTTGCGATACATCACACACATAGAAAAGCAAGCTAGCTGCTAGCAATGAGACAGAACCACCAAGACAAAAAAAATTCGATCAAAATGTTGAAAAATTACATCTACAAATGTAAGCCTCAAGTGATGTCGAATATGAGGGAAACAAGTAGAGACACATAAAAACAAGCATCTAATTTATTGAATTTGTCTTTCAATTATTTCAACACAGACGCGAAGCGGAGATTCACAAAACTTGCGATACATCACACACATAAAATGCAAGCTAGCTGCTAGAAAGGAGACAGAACCACCAAGACAAAAAATATTCAATCAAAATGTTGAAAAAATACATCTACAAATGTAAGCCTCAAGTGATGTCGAATGTGAGGGAAACAAGTAGAGACACATAAAAACAAGCATCTATTTTATTGAATTTGTCTTTCAATTATTTCAACACAGACGCGAAGCGGAGCTTCAAAACACTTGCGATACATCACACACATCGAAATGCAAGCTAGCTGCTAGAAATAGACAGCACGACCAATACAAAAAATATTCAATCAAAATGTTGAAAAAATACAACAAAAGTATGGCTCAAGTGATGTCAAATTTGAGGGAAACAAGTAGAGACACATAAAAACAAGCATCTAATTTATTGAATTTGTCTTTCAATTATTTCAACACAGACGCGAAGCGGAGCTTCACAACACTTGCGATACATAACACACATAGAAATGCAAGCTAGCTGCTAGAAATGAGACAGAACCACCAAGACAAAAAAAGTTCAATCAAAATGTTGAAAAGTTACATCTACAAATGTAATCCTCAAGTGATGTCGAGTGTGAGGGAAACAAGCAGACACATAAAAACAAGCATCTAATTATTTGAATTTGTCTTTCAATTATTTCAACACAGACGCGAAGCGGAGCTTCACAACACTTGCGATACATCACACACATAGAAATGCAAGCTAGCTGCTAGAAATGAGACAGAACCACCACGAGAAAAAATAATAAATCAAAATGTTGAAAAATTACATCTACAAATGTAAGCCTCAAGTGATGTCGAATGTGAGGGAAACAATTAGAGACACATAAAAACAAGCATCTAATTTATTGAATTTAACTTTCAATTATTTCAACACAGACGCGAGGCGGAGCTTCACAACACTTGCGATACATCACACACATAGAAAAGCAAGCTAGCTGCTAGAAATGAGACAGAACCACCAAGACAAAAAATATTCAATCAAAATGTTGAAAAATTACATCAACAAATGTAAGCCTCAAGTGATGTCGAATGTGAGGAAAACAAGAAGAGACACATAAAAACAAGCATCTATTTTATTGAATTTGTCTTTCAATTATTTCAACACAGACGCGAAGCGGAGCTTCACAACATTTGCGATACATCACACACATAAAAAAGCTAGCTAGCTGCTAGCAATGAGACAGAACCATCGAGACAAAAAATATTCAATCAAAATGTTGAAAAATTACATCTACAAATGTAAGCCTCAAGTGATGTCGAATGTGAGGGAAACAAGTAGAGACACATAAAAATAAGCATCTAATTTATTGAATTTGTCTTTCAATTATTTCAACACAGACGCGAAGCGGAGCTTCACAACACTTGCGATACATCACACACATAAAATGCAAGCTAGCTGCTAGAAATGAGACAGAACCACCAAGACGAAAAATATTCAATCAAAATGTTGAAAAAATACATCTACAAATGTAAGCCTCAAGTGATGTCGAATGTGAGGGAAACAAGTAGAGACACATAAAAACAAGCATCTATTTTATTGAATTTGTCTTTCAATTATTTCAACACAGACGCGAAGCGGAGCTTCAAAACACTTGCGATACATCACACACATAGAAATGCAAGCTAGCTGCTAGAAATGAGACAGAACCACCAAGACAAAAAAAGTTCAATCAAAATTTTGAAAAATTACATCTACAAATGTAAGCCTCAAGTGATGTCGAATGTGAGGGAAACAATTAGAGACACATAAAAACAAGCATCTATTTTATTGAATTTGTCTTTCAATTATTTCAACACAGACGCGAAGCGGAGCTTCAAAACACTTGCGATACATCACACACATAGAAATGCAAGCTAGCTGATAGAAATGAGACAGAACCACCAAGACAAAAAAAGTTCAATCAAAATTTTGAAAAATTACATCTACAAATGTAAGCCTCAAGTGATGTCGAATGTGAGGGAAACAATTAATGACACATAAAAACAAGCATCTAATTTATTGAATTTGTCTTTCAATTATTTCAACACAGACGCGAAGCGGAGCTTCACAACACTTGCGATACATCACACACA